ACGGTGACGTTAACCTGCGTTGTGTACAATCTTCCTTTTGAAGCCAATTTCACCTGGATACACGACAAGAAGACTCTGAAATCAGAGATTGTTGACCAGTCCGGAGAGCATTCCGAAGGTGTGATCAGCAAGTTAGATATTTCTACTGAAGCCTGGCTGAGTGGGGATAAATATGAATGCGTGGTGAACAATCAGTATCTACCGACTCCACTGAGAGACTCTATCCACAAGGAGAAATGTGAGTGAAGAAATAAATGCACAAATTATCCCATGTGTAATTTAGACCCAGTTACATCGTTAGCAGGCTTTGATTGGTAATGAAGTAACACCGTTGGGAGGATTTATGATCATTTCCTGGCAAGAAAGCCAAGTAACTGATTCAGAAAAAAAAATGTATTAAAGGATATTCTGTTGTGATTAAGTCAAACAAATTGAGAAGAGACCTGGAGTTTTGTGATGTAAACACCAGTAACGACAAATGGACGAAATTTCCTAGTTCTGGGCTGATAACATGGAGACCACTTTTGAACTAAACTTTTTTTTTTTAATGAATAGAATGGATACCAGTCTGCTCCTTTAAAAAATGAAAGTGAATAAATCCCAATTTAAACATGGAATTTTTGAATATTCGGTGAAATCCCAATATTGCTTCTTGATTTTTTAAAAATAATTTATATTTGTTTCAAATATTCTGCAGTGGTAAATCCGCTGGAGCCATTGGTGTCCGTCCTCCTGCCAACGACAGAAGAAGTCTCCGCACAGAGGTTTGTTTCGCTCACCTGTTTAGTGAGAGGTTTCAGGCCCCGAGAGATCTTCGTCAAGTGGACAACCAACGACAAGCCCGTTAATCCCACTAACTATAAGAACACCGAGGTGACGGCAGAGAGCGATAACACCTCCTTCTTCTTGTACAGCCTATTATCCATTGCTGCGGAGGAGTGGGCCAGCGGTGCTTCTTACTCCTGTGTGGTGGGACATGAAGCGATTCCATTGAAGATCATCAACAGAACGGTTGATAAATCCAGCGGTAAACCGAGTTTTGTGAATATTTCGCTTGCACTGATGGACACCGTAAATTCATGCCAATGAAAATCTCAAGGTTACACTTAAGAATTCAATAAAAGTCATAAAGTGTTTTCTTTCCTCCAATTGTTATGTAATTAGGCAACCGTTTAACTGATTGTGTTTCCCACTTTTAATAATATTCCGTCCTTCTCGTTAAAGTCGATAGTTAGCAGGTCCAGGACTTTTGTCTGCGAAGTTAATGCTCCCTGCTCAGACCGGTCCTGCTTCAGTGACAGACTGAAGCTCACTCATTGCAGGATTCTGCAAAGTACCTTCTCCAACTTAAATCGTACTGTGACGAAATTTGGCAATGTCCACTTCATCACAAATGAACACCACGAATTATGATCTTTGTTTTCCTGATTCCTCAATGGCCCATGTCGATAAATTTCATGCCAGCTTTAAACTGCCCCATTGCACTAACTGGGAATATAAACTTTAGAGACATTTAAAATTATTTTTGATTGGAACACACCAACAAGAAAGTATTGCTTTTGGCACCTATCGTAAGGTGTTCAGAATGACTTTTTATCTGGGGACTGCCAGGGACCTCGCAGCAGTGCATCAGTTGATAGAATGTATCTTCACTTCCACACCAAAGATAACAGGAAGAAATTTTGTTATTGTCGAGCAGAGGGAGAACAGAGTACAACGATTAACGGACTATATGCTTACTCCCCTTGCCGAGTTTTCACGTTGTACGCCCTCTGTAATGTGATTTAGTAGCTCACAGGAACAGTCAGCTTCTTCCTTACTGACCAATGATTTAAATTTTCCATGCAACGTACTTCCTTTGAAGCATGTTGGACACGCTTGTTCCGTTAATCATCTGTTAACATTGGTTCCGCATAATCCAAAACCAAACTGGCAATATTCCAGCTTATTTTCCACAGTTTTGACTCAAAATCCTGGAACCCGTGGAATCAGTTCTGGTATACAAACACCGGATGTCATTTTCTTTCACTTGCCTTGTACATATTTTATATCCAACATACTTAGAAATGTTGTTATACATCTCTGGAGTCGTGGAGATTTGATCTCAGGCCTTTCATCTCGGAGCGAGGAAATCTGTCTTTGCATCAAGCGTCAATTGCAAAGTGCTTATCTCCCCCTAACGGCGAGAAATGTTCCCTACACCATCAGGATCAGAAATAATCATTGGAAATCGATTAAAATTGCAAAACAATGAAAAGAAAAAAACACAGTCTGCTGTAAGAGCATAAACAAACACAGATACAGACAAACACTCGAACGCTCTAAAGACACACATATGCAAGCTCTCACTTAAAGTGACATACTTATGTGCAAACATAAATGCACATACAGATAAGCTGTCACACACGCATGCATTCAGAGAGGCATATTTGCATATGATACAGGAGCTGTCATATACACTCTCACAACAAAGACCAGTGCATAGAAAGAAACACACCTAAATAAACAGTGGTAACTACACATAATCATGAAAAACATAGACACACTTTAGCACACAAATGCTCATGAATGCATATCCATTCATGCACCATAATACGCACAGACACGCAATTATAAACATACACACAGGATCCGACATATATCCTCTCACATGTGCACTCACATAGACATATATGAGCGCAGAGATAAATTTTAATCTCATTATTATCTCACTTGCAGAAATATAGTCATATGAGGAAAGAGGCAGCTTAGTTCCTTACTTTTAAATCATATTGATCAGCACATAAACACGGTCACGCATTCGCACCATTTATGAGTCTCACATGCGGGCACAGAAATGCATAGATCAACACACAGTGGGGTATTTGCAACAAAAGGGGAATGGCACAACATCAGTAAACATTCACACACAACAGCACAAGAAATCGTATCAGGAGATGGTTTAGGATGCCAAGGAAATCATATCATCACATAAATATACACATCGATCAAAACATGAAGGTACATACGAACATACATTTATGGAGTACAAACATGAAAATAATCTAAGTCTGGTGGAATCTGAAATCGATACATTAACACACATTTTCAAGAGCACTACGCAAAAGAAAAATCACAAAGTCATTAAAAAATAAAGATAGGTCTCAACGAATGAAGTGGCATATTAACATAATGATTCTTACACATTGTGAAATGAACACAATTTACCTACACAAGCACAAAGATGCGAATGAACAAACCAGCACCGAGGCAACATGAATATGTTTAGTCATGCATAAGCTTCAACGTGAACAAGTGCGAAGGAAGACACACTCATAACCACATACCCAAACAATAAAGAAAAAACATACACCCCAGGTAATATACAAAAATAAACTAAGGGACAGTTCACAAAATTAAAAAAAATCATCTTACTCTGGATCCAATTTTTGCTTATGATTTGTCAAGCAATTGATCACATATAAATAAAGAAGATGAGTAATCACATTTGAACTGTTATCCAGTGATGACCACAATTTTCAACTTAACAGCTGCCACAGCCTATATTGAAAATATAATGAGAGAATTAATATAATCGTTCCCAATCAGTACACCTGGAATGATAACAATGATTATATTCTCCAAGAACAGTTTAAATGATGAAACGCGTCAAAATGTTCAGACTTGGATAACAAAGGAAGAACATGTGCAATTAGTATTAGCAAGTTATTGCTGAGAATAACTAACACAATAATAGATGAAGGTCAAGAAACAAATTTGAGAACAACCTGACGGCTTGAAGAAGGAGTAATGGTCCCTGATTACATTATTTCGATAAAGATATATCGGATTGGATCAATGAACAATCTAAATCCGTTGTCTCGGCTTTATATTCATAGATTCGATAGATCATAATTGGATTGAAGACTTTGAGGATGATAACGGCAACATCTGGACAACTGCTTCGACGTTCATCACCTTGTTCTTCCTGAGCATTTTCTATAGTGCTGCGGTCACGCTGGTGAAGGTGAGAATAATGAAATCATTCACACTTCAAACAGACCATTGTGGCTTGTGAAATCTCGACGTGTGTCATTGAATTAAAATTAAAACCTGAATGCCCTATCATAAATATCTAAATCATTCCCTAATCACTCTTTTTCAGGTCAAGTGAATGAATTTTGGACCCCATAGAATTTCCTCGAGGAAATTTTGTTTTTATCGAGGCCACTGAACTCCAAATGTGCAATCAGTCCTGTCGTAGACACTCGCAGTGAGATAAATTCAGTTTATGAGTGCGTAACTGAGTAAATGTTCGATGGGTTTTCCAATTTACCTTGTTTGATATCGTCAACATAATTATTGTTGCAATAATTTGTAGCTTCCTAATTGTTTGAAGTCAATTTGTGTTTTAGTTCTTGTTATTCCTTATTCGGAATTGTTGCATGTCCTTTATGTTGAGCCCGTATTTTCTTTTTTCTGGTGACTGTTACCGATGAGCATAAAATTCGCAGCTCAGAGGTCATGCATTATCATCTCAATGTGGCATCCGGTCATTACGTTCATTTTTGGTAATTTTAACATAAACTTTTCGATAAAAATGCTGTCTGAAACGGTAAATAAACCTTGAATGAATATGTACGAAACTTGAATTTGCTTAATTCTTTCTTCAAGGGCCATCAGTAATCATACATTTTCCCAAGTTTGTACACCCCGCTCCGATCCCAGCCAAATGCTTCACACTTATGACTTATTGTGTTTCATGCAGTCTTTTAGGTTAGTGCTTCACTAACTTGCGGCCCATTAATGTGACCCCATCTTTCACTCGATACATCTGATGGCAAAATCGACAGGCAGAATGATGAGAGCGCAAGCAGACCATCGATGTTTCCTGTCATACACAAAAGGTCACAGCCTTTTGTCAAGTAATTATAAAAAGCACGACCGTTGTTCGACCAGAAAGCTGCTAAAGACAGGCAATGGAGTTGGAAGGTTAACTCGATTCTGTCGAAGACAACAATACTTCCAACATCGGTAGACCCTGAGTTCCTAACGGATAAATTTCGACCTAACATGCCCAATTAAACGTTCATCAGCCAAAAATATCACGTTCAGTCAAGAATACAGACACATTGAGACCTATGTGGCACTAGACAGAATTCAGCACCAATAAAAGGAATCGTTCTCAGCGTCTGGAACCTGTCTGTTCTGGACACACTGAACCTTTCTCCGCTTGTTATATTTTACTTATTCTGGGAGCTACGCGTGTAACACGAATCCCTTATGAAAACAGTTGTTTCAAAACACCAACCAATTAAGATTTTCCTCGGCCAGATCTGATATCTTCGTCTGCCTGGAGCACCAGAAGCTAGGTAACTATTTCAGGCATTTTCTTAATTTTCTCAAATTACCATTTAATCCTTAAACTTGAACCTTATATCTCAACAAGAGATTAATGATCAACTTAAATACATACAACCATTACACACGTGCAAATTAAAAAAAAATTAAAATGAATTGCTCATTGAATTAAATTGGGTACACACAGAGACTCTTCCAAAGTATTGGAGCAAGAGTCGCATACTTTCACCACCGCTGGAATTGTTAAACGTGCAAAGTGTCTAAAAGAAATACTCAGGCAGATTTACACTGTGGAAATCGAAACGACAAAGGCATTGATAGGAAACAAAACATTAAATAGAAACTGACAATAGAAGCTGTGCTGCGAAGTGTGGGAGATGCTCGGACAGATTTCTGTGGTTACTTTTTCACAGACACCGACGTCGTTGCTGATCCATCACAACTGTTCTTTCAAAGCATCTCGCCAGGCTAAAATACTTTTGAATGCCCCGAGTAATCCCGAGTTCACAGCACAGTTTAGTGGACGTTTAATCCTCTGAAACACTCGCTGCATAAAAATAAGCTTCACTTTATGTAATTTTGAGTTGTTCCAATTGCCAATTATATTTGACCAGCGCCTGAATGTTTCCAATCCTTCTTCAATGGAAGCAGTTTCTCCCTATCCAACTCTACTAAAACGCATCAGCATTTTAAGGAATTCAACCAAATTGAAAATTGTTGTTCAACAGTGGAGAATAGTCCCGACTTCGCAAAGTTGGTGAGGTGCATCATCCCGGGAACAGTGCTGTGATTTAGTCATGCCCCTGTCT